TGGCATGCAAAAGACTGATAAATTCATAATTAATGGCATGGCTGGTTTTGTCGACAGAAATACGGGACACACAGGCCTATAATAACTTCTGAAATGTTTGCCGGTAAAATCTCAGGTCAGTCTGAGCGCTCATGGCATGCATAGTGTGTACAGCCTGCAGGTGCCACTGGTTGTGGTGGTATCACTTATCTGTATTTGTGGTAAAACTGCTGCTTAAGATACAGGGCAGACAGGACACATGCACTAATTATTTTTGAGGGGGCACGAGTGTGTGTGTATGTGTATGTGTCATCATGTGACACACAGCAGCCACAATAGCACTCATGTTTTTTCCCCCTTTTCATTCGAAACATGCCCAAACGCAATAACTATATCATGGAATATCTCGATTCTCACCTTTATAGATTATGTTACTTGATCTATAGTGGGCGATGGTCAAAGTAGCCTAATAATGTAGGCTAGTCTATTAACTATACATAAAATCCTATCTGTTTGCTTAAGTAACAGATATGGGTGTCATGCCATAACATATTTTTAATACGACTGACTTTATATTTAATGTGAATTTAGCATTGAAAGTTAATGTGAATAAAAACATGGTAAGTTAGGCTACTTATCATAACACTTTCATTGTACTGAAAGAGAGCAAAGAACATTTACATTATCAAAGAACATTTTCACTGACAGTCTAGAGTTCAAGCACTCTCAAAAACTCCCATTAAAATCACTGAAGCTGTTTACACTGTGAAATGAATATCTTACTTACAGATTCATACACACATCTGCAGTTTGTTGTTTCTGACGAGAGAATTCGCCAGAAAGAGGTTGAATTTATAAGCTCAACAGCATTGCGTGTGATTGGTTATAATGTGCAGTGCTGTAAAAACGCGTTGACGCGTTTGTCTCTGGCTCAGTGCCAGCCAGCGAACTTAGATTTGAATTTAGCAGCTGATGATATGAGGTGCTGAACGATTTAATCATGCTGGTGTGATTGTATCAAATACAGAAAATATTATTCGGCTATTTTTTGTCTTTTGGAAGCTGCATTCAAAATCTACTTGGCTCAAAAATACTTTGAATGGGCATGATGCCTCTTACTCCAGTTCAAGTACACAAACTATAAAAAGTGGTGACTGGACATTATTTTGTTTAAAAACAATTTATTTAGGACTAGAGCCCGACCGATATATCGTTTTGCCGATATTATGAGCCTGTCGCCGATATATCGGTATCGGTGAATATGCCACCGATATGAAAATTTATTTTACAGAACATATAACGCAGATAAAATGCTTGAAATGGTGTAATTACTTAGTTTGTCCAGCAGAGCGCGCTCCATTGTTTGCTTCTGGCAACCTGGATGAAACGCTTTAAAGCTTAAGTCTATGGAAAACCATTGAAACTTTGAACGGCCATATCTCCGTAACGGCGCAGCGTATCTGCACCAAATTCGGGGTATCCCTTCAGCTCGAAGAACCCTCTCGAACGCAAATCAAGTGTACGTCTAGAGGCCCGCTTTCGAATGAGACCACTGCCTCGTCGATAGCCCCCGGGGTTCGGGAGTTAGGGGTGGTTAAATTCGCGGTCCGGCGCCGACCGATCAAGCGATCCTGGGGGGCTCACACTTCTCTAGTAAGTTTCGTCTGTGTGTGAAGACAGTAGCGCAAATCCGTGAATGAATGTTCCGAAGTGAAATAAACTTCAACGAAATAAAGTTGAATGGAATTGAATTGAATTAAAGTTGAATAAACTTCAACTTTACTGTTCAGTGCACTGATATCAGACTCATTTTGGATAATAAAGTTTATTGTTAAGTTGTTAAATGCCCTGCCTCCATTACGTATCTCTGTCACGTCATTATAAGTGATTTTCTCACCACATTTGAGTGATCATTGCAAAAAATGTGTTTATGTATATATATTCTGTTTATGTATATACTGTGTTCTATATATAGTACCAGTCAAATGTGTGGACACACGAATGGGAAAGTGTCCAAACTTTTGACTGGTACTGTACTATAATATACACAAAGAATATCGGCCGATATATCGATATCGGCCTTTTTTTGCTCTCTAATATCGGTATCAGCCCCAAAAAACCCATATCGGTCGGGCTCTATTTAGGACCCAACTGACTTTCATTATATGGACAAAAATGTTCTTGAAACAACTTTTTAGTGCTCTGCAGGTGAAAGAAAATCAAATAAGTTTGGAACGACATGAGGATGAATATATGAATTAAAATTTTTGAGAGAACTATGTTTAGATTACCTGACAATGTACACTATAAAATGTTCCTATTTTTCATAAGGCTACACAAGTTTAATTTAGACTGTACCCATAGTTTTAAATTAAAACTCAAGTTTTTGAAACAAAAACTTCATCTACTCTCTTATGTAACTAGGACGCATTCTTAATTTTTATTTTTTTTTTTCATTTAACATACCAGCTAAATAGTTTCACCATGACAACGTGAGAAACAAATTAGCAGCATCAAGAATGTAATACCTTATGCTAATACGTGCTAATTATCTTGCTGATTATCAAGAGAATAATGTTATATTTTGTAATATAATGCACTTTCATTATGCAATAAATAAAGAGATATAGATTGCTGTGAACATGTATCACAATAACAGGTGCATGGGGACATTTTGGCTACATTTAAAAGAGATGAAGAGTTTAGTGGTTTGGCCTCAAGGTTCCTTCTATATCATGAGCTGGTCTCTGTGTGTGTGTAGCGTTGTCTTATTCGACCGTAAGTGCCTGCGAAGTGGAATTCACATGAAATTCCGCCATGATTCCAGTTCCAAGGGAACATACACGTTACATTCAAAGGGCATTAAAGTGCGCGAGACGTGAATTTATATTGCATTTATTTACAGAGGTATATTATGTCACACTTCACGCTTCTCTAGTAAGTTTTGTCTGTGTGTGAAGACAGTAGCGCAAATCCGTGAATGAATGTTCCGAAGTGAAATAAACTTCAACGAAATAAAGTTGAATGGAATTGAATTGAATTAAAGTTGAATAAACTTCAACTTTACTGTTCAGTGCACTGATATCAGACTCATTTTGGATAATAAAGTTTATTGTTAAGTTGTTAAATGCCCTGCCTCCATTACGTATCTCTGTCACGTCATTATAAGTGATTTTCTCACCACATTTGAGTGATCATTGCAAAAAATGTGTTTATGTATATATATTCTGTTTATGTATATACTGTGTTCTATATATAGTACCAGTCAAATGTGTGGACACACGAATGGGAAAGTGTCCAAACTTTTGACTGGTACTGTACTATAATATACACAAAGAATATCGGCCGATATATCGATATCGGCCTTTTTTTGCTCTCTAATATCGGTATCAGCCCCAAAAAACCCATATCGGTCGGGCTCTATTTAGGACCCAACTGACTTTCATTATATGGACAAAAATGTTCTTGAAACAACTTTTTAGTGCTCTGCAGGTGAAAGAAAATCAAATAAGTTTGGAACGACATGAGGATGAATATATGAATTAAAATTTTTGAGAGAACTATGTTTAGATTACCTGACAATGTACACTATAAAATGTTCCTATTTTTCATAAGGCTACACAAGTTTAATTTAGACTGTACCCATAGTTTTAAATTAAAACTCAAGTTTTTGAAACAAAAACTTCATCTACTCTCTTATGTAACTAGGACGCATTCTTAATTTTTATTTTTTTTTTTCATTTAACATACCAGCTAAATAGTTTCACCATGACAACGTGAGAAACAAATTAGCAGCATCAAGAATGTAATACCTTATGCTAATACGTGCTAATTATCTTGCTGATTATCAAGAGAATAATGTTATATTTTGTAATATAATGCACTTTCATTATGCAATAAATAAAGAGATATAGATTGCTGTGAACATGTATCACAATAACAGGTGCATGGGGACATTTTGGCTACATTTAAAAGAGATGAAGAGTTTAGTGGTTTGGCCTCAAGGTTCCTCCTTTGTCATGAGCTGGTCTCTGTGTTTGTGTGTTTGTGTGTGTGTGTGTGTGTGTGTGTGTGTGTGTGTGTGTGTGTGTGTGTGTGTGTGTGTGTGTGTGTGTGTGTGTGTGGTTTCTCCAGCACTGCATTTAAGTGCTTAGGAGACATGAAACCTCTGAGGTCAGAGAGAGATGCTTCTTCTTCTTTTTTTTTGTAATGCTTCTAATTTAGATTAGAACATGCACTGAGAAGTCATTAACAGCCTCTCAGACACTCTGTGGCAGCGATAATATTTGTGCGTGAGTGAGTGTGTGCATGTGTTTGTATGTCTGTGCATCTGCTGAAAAGTGCATTTGCACACTAATGTACACGAGGAGAATTTGCCTCCCGTGCAATACAGACAATCTTTCTTTTTTCTCTCAGTTTGCTTAAGGTGTATATGGTTAACCTTTATCATGGAATACAATCCTAATTATACAGTTGATCTTTTGTATTAGAGGGGCCAGACAAAGTTAGTGTTACTATATTATTCTTCATTATTATTCTGTATTAATAATACTGTATTATTATTATTATTATGAAAGGTTAGTGCATGATTTTGAAGCACATAGGTTATATTTCGATTATTAAAACTATTTTCTACTTATGAATGCAAGAATAAAAGCAAAAATGAAATAAGCATAATACTTTTGGTTAAAGAACAGAATTTTTAAGAGAGCTTCAGATGATTTATGAGAGGAAAGAGCTATTACGCTATTGTCTGTTTTTCCAGATAATTTGGAAGAGCACAAAGGAAAATAAAGGAAAGCAGACAGAAGGAAAGAAAAGTAACATTGATTTTTCCGAAGAAACACTGTATTTAGGACAACTCGGGAGTCAGGAATATTTAAGAGCATCAACGCGCTGAGCAAACACACACAGAGTCATCCATCTCGTTTTTTATGCCACCAGCCAATGCTTTTTGCAACGCCGTCAGTACAGCCTGTGACTTGTCTAACTCTTTTTCCCTCTTCTGTATCTCTCTCTAGGTGACGTTTACAAAGAGAAAGTTTGGCCTGATGAAGAAAGCCTATGAGCTGAGCGTGTTGTGTGACTGTGAGATTGCCCTCATCATCTTCAACAGTACCAACAAGCTGTTCCAGTATGCCAGCACAGATATGGACAAAGTGTTGCTCAAATACACTGAGTACAATGAGCCACATGAGAGCAGGACCAACTCCGACATTGTGGAGGTGAGATTCTCAGATCTACACACACTTACCTGACATTCTCAAACTGTCAGCAGGTCGTTATTATTAAGATCATTTTTTATTTTATTTTTTAATACACTTCTGTTCAAATGTTTGGGGTCAGTCAGTTGATTTTGAAAAATGTTTTTGAAAGAAGTCTCTTATGCTCACCAAGGCTGCATTTATTTGATCAAAAATAAGAGTAATATTATGAATTTAATGCAATTTAAAGTAACCATTTTCTATATTAATATATTTAAAAATTTAATTTATTCCTGTGATGGCAAAGCTGAATGTTCAGCATCATTACTCCAGTCTTCAGTTTCACATGATCCTTCAGAAATTATTCTGATATGCTGATTTGGTGCTCAAGAAACATTTCTTGCTATTATCAGTTACAAACAGTTGTGCTGCTTAATGACATTTTTTCCAGATATCTGAAATGATTAAAAGTATTACTTTATTTAAAATAAAAAAAATGTATAAAAAACAAATATTACTGACCCCAAATGTTTTAACAATAGTGTTTTCTTTTTTTCTTTCTTTTATTTATTATTATTATATTATATTATATTTTATTATATATTATATATAATTATTATTCTTTTTTTCTTTTTGTTTTTTTTCTTCTATTTTTATGACATGTCTGACAAATTGAATGAACATTAATTATTGACCTGATAAACATTATGTAATTTAGTGGCTGTTTGAAATTAAACTAATAAAAAGTGTTGCATAGGAATTGCATATTTCGATAGACTTAATGTATCATTAACATGTGATTTTGACTAGGTTTCCTTGTGCATAGTGCCATTGCACTCTAATTTTCTTATTTGTCTGTGGAGACTCTACAGACACAAACCCAAATTACAAACAGTTTTTGGAGTCTAATGGACCATAGATCATGCAGCACCCCTCTAATTATAATTATAAATAAGTACACTAACTGATATCCAGTATCAGGCTATATTTCATTTCACCCTGTTCTTTTTGAATGCCAGATACTTTTTTGTCTGCATTTTCTCAATCAGCTTAATGCTCCTAAAGTCTCTCAGGCCTTAGAGACATGTTGTCCATGGGTTCCTGCCATAAACCTGAGGGCCTGGCCATGCTAAACTATTGTAGTTGTCTTGAGGCAAACATCCAAATGCGCATTACAGAGTGAGCTGGTTACGTAATCTACTTTTCTGAGATGTCACAACACAGCTTAAAAAGCAAAATTTAAGGGGGTCTGAATACTTTCCGTACCCACTGTATGTGGGTTGACAAGGTGGTCCTCTGAAGGACTTAAAGAGTTAGTTCACCCAAAAATGAAAATTAGGCTGTGTTTTACTCACCGCCGAGGCATCCTGGGTGTATATGACTTTCTCCTTTCAGATAAATCCAGTCAGAGTTATATAAAAAATTGTCTTTGATATTTCAAGCTGTTTAATGCCACTCAGCAGGTGTTGCATTGCTTCAGTTCAAAAGAACTTAAATAAAAATCGCCCATCCATAAAAAAAGTGTCTCACACAGCTCCGGAGGGTGAACAAAGGCCTTCTGTAGTGAATCGATGCATTTTTGTAAGAAACATATCCATATTCAAAACATAATATTCACTTGAATCTAGCTTGCACTCACTGTTGTAAACAAAAGCAGTTCCGGGGGAATGACGTATGAGGTTGATTTTGCACATGCGCCGCTCAGAAGTGACGCACGTGGAAACGCAGCGGAGAGATCAAAACAAAACAACGGTCAAGAATTAGAAGTACAAAACAAGGATTTGTAAAGAAGAATGTCAGAGGATTTCGATATAAGCCAAGAGGAGACTTGTTTTCCTTTGCTAAAGTAAGGAAACTTTGATCCTGTACACAAACGTTGGTTTTCACGAGACTCACCGGCGCATGCGCAATGCTGACCTCATACGTCATGCTCCCGGAACTGCTTCTGTGTACAACTGTTGGCGCAAGCTACATTAAAGTGATTATTACGTTTTGAATATGGATATTTTTCTTACAAAAACGCATCGATTCACTACAGAAGGCCTTTGTTCACCGCCGGAGCCGTGTGAGACACTTTTTTTATGGATGGGCGATTTTTATTTAACTTATTTTGGACTGAAGCAATGCAACACCCGCTGATTGCAATGATAGAGCTTGAAAGATCAAAGACAATTTTTTATATAACTCTGACTGGATTCGTCTGAAAGAAGAAAGTCATATACACCTAGGATGCCTCGGGGGTGAGTAAAACGCAGCCTAATTTTCATTTTTGGGTGAACTAACCCTTTAAGGGCTCTAAGACTGTGTCCTCTTGCCATGCACAACAACATACGAGCAGGTCCACATCTACAAACAAAGTTAATATCCCAAGATCTATGGGTGAGTTTGTGAAGTGGGTTGATCGCAATTTAAGTGCAATCCAACTCCTTTGCTCTTAGAGTCAGACAGACAAAACATGTTTTTTCTGTCTACTTCCTTTTTTTATTCTGACATATTGTCACAAGTCACATTCCTGCCTACTCTGTGGTCCATCTTCATTTCCGCTGTGTGTACATTTGCCTCAATTTGCTTGATAACTCTGCAGCTTGATAATTTAGTTTTATTTATTTACGTATTCAGTAAGTATATTCCATATACATATATCTCATAAAGCCAGTGTGGCATTTATAATTTATATTAGTGCTGTCAAACGATTAATCGTGATTAATCACATCCAAAATAAAAGTTTTTGTTTACATAATATATGTGTACTGTGTATATTTATTATGTATATATAATGACACACACATACAGCATATATTTAGAAAATATTTACATGTATTTACATGTATATATTTATATTCATATAAATCATATCATATATAAAAAATATTTAATATATAAACGTAACATATTTTTCTTAAATATATACATGCATGTGTGTGTATTTATATATACATAATAAATATACACAATACAGACATATATTATGTAAACAAAAACTTTTATTTTTAATTGCGATTAATCGTTTGACATCACTAATTTATATATGTGTTTTATATTTATTTTTATGTGCTAGGAAATGGGTTTTCGTAAATTCAGTGATCATCTGTCATTTTTGCCTCTTCTACAAGCTCAAACCTTGAGGCAGATTTAAAGGGCAGATAGAAAGTGCTTATTATTCCTGCAGTGCATCAAGGCACAATTACAAAAATGCACTCCAAGCATGAGCAGCTGTGCGTTCCACTTAAAGGGGTCATATGATGCTGCTAAAAAGAACATTATTTTGTGTATTTGGTGTAATGAAATGTGTTTATGCGGTTTAAAGTTTAAAAAGCACATTATTTTTCACATACTGTACATTATTGTTTCTCCTCTATGCCCCGCCTTTTTGAAACGCGTCGATTTTTACAAAGCTCATAGGTCTGGAAAAGAAAGGGGTGCTGTGATTGGCCAGCTATCCAATGCGTTGTGATTGGCCGAATACCTCAAGCGTGAGACGGAAATGTTACGCCCCTCACCATACTGTTGATGCCATGTCGGCCATCTTTACTTAATATCCTAATGATTTTTGGCATAAAAGAAAAATCTATAATTCTGACCCATACAATGTATTTTTGGCTATTGCTAGAAATATACCCGTGCTACTTATGACTGGTTTTGTGATCCAGGGTCACATATATTATATAAATTATCATTTAAAAAATAAATTAAAAGTTATGTAACTCCATGAAAGCTATAAATTCCTAAATGTTTTGTGGAAATATGACGTTCTGTCAGGACCACTATCGTCAAAGATGATTGACAATTAGCATACAGTTTGGATTGGCGGTATGGTTCTGTTCTGGGCAAGAACTCCTTGCGCATCCATGCAGCCTAGCATGGATGAGAGCAGGGAGAGCAGCAATAACCCCCCAGGGTAAACAGAACAGAACCAACATAAATGTATTTCAGATATTGTTAAAGTTCAATAATTGTATGTAAACATTTTAGAATTAGTCTGATTCAAAGGAGAATCAGAAGGCTGAATCCCGACTGACAGAGGAGGAGTTGGGGATGGAGGAGGGTAATTAGCTATTGAGCAATGCGAAAACTGCTGATCATACTGAGGGACCTTATATATGAATTCTTAGATAGGTGTCGTATCCTATAGGTAGATGGGGATCAGCTGAGAGTCAGCTGATGCGAGCTTGACTAACGTGACCTGCCAGAACTAACTCTACGCTTGATGTATATGGTGCAACATATGAAAACGTTACTTGTATAACATACTTTCAAGTCCTAAACATCATGGTTTGCTCTGCCACGTGAAGCACACTGGGAAAATCAGCACACGCAAACATCGAAGTGGAAATAAAATAGAGCATAGCGAGTCAAACTGCTTCTATCACCAAGCAACAGCTTTAGTGGAGTTTCTTTCCAATTTGCCAGATTTCGTGTTGGAGAAATCGATTTGAAGGTGGCTAAAATGCTGCCCTAACTGGATTTGTCGACGCTGAAGTGCTGAGCTCCTGCAGGGCCCCGTTTTTCTGCTGCTAGGTTACATCACGGCCAGGGGATGTGGGCGGTAGGAGGTAAAGAGGAACAAAGCAGACTTCCTGTTGTGATGGCAGGATGGGGACGAGGCCTTGGGGTGGGCCGGAGGGGGAACTCGGCATAGGGGTATCAGTGCCATAGTTCAGCTTTGAGCTGTGGAGTGTGTGCGAGACATGTTAGACAAACACGTATCGGCTATGGACCGTCTCAAACATGTGCTGTACATACAAAGATTTAGCATTGTTTAAATGGGCTGAAAACACACACACATACACACTCATATAAAACACATAAATCCGAGCAATCTTTGCCTGGAGTGCATGTGGGGTGCAGTGGGAGGATAAGGAGAGGCAGGGGAGCCGGGCGCAGCATGTGGGTGTCTTGAAGAGCAGCCCGCTACATTAGCAATAAAGCTCCATGTAATTAGCATGTCTTTGGTTGATAATTAGCGTTGTTGGGAGAGAGGCAGTGAGAGGCTTGCCCAGCCTCTTTAGCTCTGTTTATGA